GCCACCACCGCCCGGCGCAAAACACTTCTTTAACTCTGTATCTGTTTATTATTTCAAGTTATTCATTAGCAAAGCTAATAGAAGGCTGATCAGACAAGAGGACTGCTAGCATTAGAGTACAGGAATTCACCCCCTTAGATGGCACAACCTCAACATAAATCTTGAGGTTCTTGAGATGATTGACACTGGTATTCCCTCTTCTTTCCACTGTCACCTTGTCTCCTCACAAGGAAGAAAGTGCTCCATTTGCAGTAGTAACTGTTTTTACAATCAGTGATGACATTTTTAAAACCATCAATTGCTTCTTTACAACCAGAGACATGTTTAGGAAGACCAATTTTGATTTGGCACATGGTTTTTGCTGTGGTAACCAACTTTAGCCTGTAAAAACAAATGTACTAAACATTAGTTCAAATTAAACAAATTTCCTTCTCAGTTGATACCCCCTCATAGAAATTATATCCTTTTTGAAGAATTTATGTAGCAAAGTGATCAGAATTTCAAATGCAGACATCATTGGCTTCAACATGAACATACAACTTCTATCCCAACTGCTTAGTGCAGGCTTACATATTTGCATATGTGTTAATTGCTTGTGCCATGAGAATTTGATTAGTCCTTTTTTTTTTTTTTTTTTTGAGTTGAGAGCTTGAGGGTGACATCATTAGGAGGAAAGCTAACAAGAGAGAAAGTTAGCTTGTGATATCCATCCCAATGACACTGAAGAGTTACCTATGTTTTCTAAAGCACATTTTGAGATTGAATTTGTCTAGATAAGTACCTAATGAAAATGCAATGACTTAAAACAAGGATTTTTCAAAGCTGCAAAATAATCTAAAAGTAGTATATAAGTTAAAAAAGTTTATTAAAGTATTCTGAGTTCTCTGGCGAAATGGCCAAATAAATGCTGCTTAACACAGTTTGGTTTTAAATTAATTTGTTGCTTTTCTACTAAATATTAATAGGATTTTTATGGTCTGTTTTTCTTGGGTACTGAAATAAGATAATTTTAAATATGTATATGCAATATAGAATGATAAATATATACAAGAGATATTCAGTGTGTTTTTCTATACAATTAGCCTCATTGTTGTCTAAATTAACAGGGAGATCCTCATATTTGGTGACAACTTCACTGGCCTCCCCCCTTGCTCAGTGTATTAGGAATCTTGGATAAACGCTTTGTGAATGCTGTAAGTCAGAAAGAAAAACAAGAGAGAGAAGGAGGAGCTTTCTACCAAAGACACTGCTCCTACTTTTCACAGGCCTGGTCATTTAAAGAGCAGTACAAGTCTGCTGTCCTTAACTAAGTTAATAATTTAAAAAAATGTCTTATTTGAACAGAAAAGCTTTTTCAAGATATTCTGTTCCCTTTCCAACAAAACATGTGATGAGAACAACTTATAAGAAATGTTCTTAGACATGGAAGCTAAAATAAGCCTGCTCCTAACATATTTTAAATATGTCCAGTGAAAACATTTCCATAGAAGAAATTCAAAATGTAGTACAGCCATCACAAAGTGCTCTGTAGGCTTTGGCTCTGCCTGCTCCTAATTGCCCTTGTTTTCAATCCATTCATGTATTCACCTACTGAAATCTACTATGCATCTGACTGTGAAAGGTTCTGTGAGAGACAAATACAGTGGAAACGCCAGGGTATAGATCACTTACCATCTGAGGAAATACCAAAACTTCACAAAATGGGCACAAAAAATTCCTAAAGTTCTTGAGCAACTTAAAAATAAAACATGTCTATCAAATACTTTGCCTAATTTCTGGCATCAGGAGATCTTTTAATCCCATCCCTCTTTCACACATACTTCTGCTTCCCCAGTCAGGAAGATGACCATGTCCAGTTAGTAAAAGTGGAAACTGCTACCAATTTGGACAGACACACCTGTCCACAAGTAGCTCTTTCATGACAAATTCAGGATAGCCATCCCAAAAGGAATAAGAATCATGATCTCCCCCATTCATCAAAAGCCTGAGTCCTCATTCACAGCAGGAAGCTGGTGTGAGCAAGTTTAGCAATATTTTTGTCTGTTTGAAATGTCCCAGTCTATCACCAGGATGTCCTCCTGAATCAGAGTTGGCATTCCCTGCTTGTAGTGGAAATGGCACTTAAGGAAAGCTCCATATTCTTTCCTGAACCATCCCATCGGAGGCCAGAGAAAATGAGGCATGTGCATCAATATCATAATCAGATGACATCCTTCACTGGGAGTTCCATACCAGGTTCATTTCACTTAAAAATTGCCACTTGTCTATCAAATTCAGCTACCTATCAAACAAACTCCATTCATGATAATTCTCTAAATGAAAATGTAGAGATTATAAAATCCTAGCATGTGATCATGTGTTCATGTGTTCCACACCAGCTTGATAAGTGGTAGATGAAATCTTGCCCCTGAAGGGAAAGAGAAAGCTAAACTTGACCAGAAAGAATATAAAGAAGAAATAAAAGAGCACAATAGCCACCAGGTTCCCAAGTGCTCATTGGGTAAAGGTGCTTGCTGCTGAGCCTGGCAACCATACTGGAAAGAGAGAACCTTCTCCTGAGGATTTCCCTGTGACTTTCACACAGGAAGGGCATCTGTGTGCAGGCAGGCAGGCAGGAGAAGAGAAGGGAAAGGAAGGGACAGGAAAGAGGAGAGAGGAGAGGAGGAGAAGAGAGAAGGAAGGGAGAAGAAGAAGAAAAGTAGGTTTAAGAAAAGATTGTGTTGTGTTTAAGTGCAGAATAATTCACAAGATTAGGATTGATCACAATATTGTTGAACTTCTGTTCATATGTTGAGATATGATTAGCTTATATCTTGATGTGTCTATTCATTTTTTTGTTCATTTATTCTTATATCAATTATTTGTTCAGGTCTTTCAAACACTGGCAATGTTCTACATATATTTTTCTTAGATATAAGGAAAAATAAGTAACAGAGGAAATAATTGAAATCAATTGACGAGCTGGTTTCTAGGTAATCCCTCCGAAGATGCTGACCTTGTCTGTGATTATATTCTGTAAAGAGGAGACTAATTATAACCACAAGCTATAGTTTCTCCTCCTCTGTTGTAGCTCCACCAAGAAAATAAATGGTCAAGGAGTCCATCAAACTGTTTCTACTTGTGTTGATACTCTGTGTTTTAAACTCTAGAATGTTCTCTGAAGTTCTGTGAAGGTGGCTAGAGAGCATGTATTAGGTGCACCTCTCATTAACACTAATTCTGACCATGCCTGGGTTCACCAATGGCTTGTATCTTTCAATTTATGCCTGAATTCGGGAAAGTATCCCTTGAGTCAGAAGTCTATAATTTAACTATAGGAAAAGATAGGGAATAGGAGATGCACCAAAATTTTTCATTCCACTTGATTTTGGTTTCCAAACACTCTGTAGAGAAGCTCCAGGTCTGAATGCCTCACTGAGTGTTTTCTCTGTTCATTGATAGTGGTAGGAACAAAGTAATTTAGCCAAAAGCACAGAAGGTGCCACTGGTGCTTGAGTGTGAAATACTTACTCAAGTTTTTGGATCAGCTGACTTAAAGAAATGAATCTTTCCAGGTTAGCATGGAGTTAATGAAAACCTAGCCTCAGAAAAGGAATACCAAAAAAAAAATCTTAAATTAAAATTACCTTTATTATGACTTTCTAAGATTTTGTTCATTATGTATGAATTACTTACAACACAAATCTATTCTCTGTAGAGGTAAAGCAGACTTGACAGAAAATGTGTCCAATGTGAGAGAGACATCTTACACTCAGTGTGTCTTAGTTGCAGAGCATTATATTAAAAATTGTATACCATCAGGCAAAAAAAAAGTCAATTATAATGCATAAAGTCAAGTGTTTGCAGGAAAAATTAAATTACAACCTTTAGTCTAACTTACTTCATCCTTTCGTCTTTTGATATGGTATCTGAGGAGCAGAAACACTCTCAGTAGGGCCACAGGGTGAAACCAGCATCGTTCTCCATTCAGAAACTTCCCGCCTTGGGCGTGGGTTACATGAAACACTGTGTCCAGCCACGGCTCTCCTTCCCCACTGCAGGTGTCCCTTGTGCATCTCCTGAAGACTGTCCGGCTGCTGCGTCTTTTGCGCCTCCTGCAGAAACTGGACCGTTATTCTCAGCACAGCACAATCGTCCTCACCCTGCTCATGTCCATGTTTGCTCTCCTTGCACACTGGATGGCATGTATCTGGTATGTCATTGGAAAAATGGAGAGGGAGGACAACAGCCTTCTCAAGTGGGAAGTCGGTAAGGGCTTGTCTAAAAGTTTCCACTTTTAGTTAAAAGGGAATGTTGTGTAGAGTATGAGGGAAGTGAAAGGTGTTTGTGAATCTCTTCTAGTCATTTATTTATTAATTTTTTTTACTATACCGGGATGTGTAGACTATTTTCATCTGTATATAATGTACTCTCAGTGCATTTTCAATTCTCCTCCATTCTCCGTTTCCATGCCCTCCCCCATCCTGCCAATCCTCTTTTCCCTATATGGTTTTATGAATACATTCCTTCTCACTGATTTTTTTTTTCAGTTTAAAATACAAGGGACAAAAGTTTCCTTCAGGAGCCTTGCATTGTTATCAAAATTTATAAGGCTCAACCTTTAGGCTAAAGAAACTTGAAAAAGATCTAAGTTGTTCAAAATGTCCAGCAAGGCTATGGAAGCATTGGGATGAATGTGCAGTCTTGCCTTGCACTGTCCAGTGTAGAGCTAGTAGCAGGAAATTGTGGGAAACTGTTCCAAGGTCCTTCACTAAGTTGTTGAACCACAAGAAAACAATGGTTAACGTCTGAGTTTGTCTTCTAATGAAGAAGATGAGCCTCTCTCTTTCTCATTAGAAAAGTGAACTGCCAAAAGGACATATCATACTCAGGGGATCAGTAATGTAACAGAAGACAGGATTATTACAAATATTTCAAACATTTAGTAGTTCCACAATCCATAAAATGTTGGAGTTTCTCTTTCAAGTGTTACATAATTTAGCATAAATGAATATGTAAAGACAAGCACAGGAACACATTTTAATCTATGGATTTTTACAGAGAATGAAAATTCTCAAGAGGTAGATACCCTTTTACACTGAAGCAACCACCATCTTTTCCGCACTATCTAAAATTGCCACAGTACCGTCTATTGGAGGGCTGTTGTTTTCACTTTTGTTTTGACATTTAATCAAAAGCATCTATCTTAGTTGGCTGAAATTTCTTCACTTATCCTCTCCATCAAAAATCAATTTTGAACTTTTGGAGGAAGCTCAGCCCTTTGCAGAGGACTAAACCACAGGAGACTCTCAGCAAGAGAAGTGCCCAATATGTCCAGCTGCTGGGCAGCTTGTGCTTGGAGCATCCTGTGTTTTATCCTAAATGTCACTCTCTCACCACAGAGCATGTACAAAACCTTCACAGGGCATCCCTAAACACAAGCTGGAGATCTTGAGGAAGTAGGCTGAAGAAAGTTAATTTTCTTACCAGGTCCTCAACAAAACAAAATAGCCTTATTCTTCTCAACTGAGCTCCACAAAGTGACTGATGTGTTATGATGATTTTCTTCTCAGAAGGGCTTCTGTTCTTCCTTTTTTTTTTTTATAACATAGCATGTTTTAAATATCTTGCTATGGTTCTGAATTCTCAGAATGAATGAAAGACATAACTAAAACTGCAGCATGGAAGCAAAGGTGTCCTAGATTAAAAAAAAATGAGTTCCAACTGGAGAAAAAGGGAGAGGGAGAGGGAAGGAGATGGATGGGAGAGTCGGGGTCTGACTTTGCTGACACCGCTGGCCTCCCTGGGATGCTCTGGTGTTGTCTTAACAGTTTTCAGTGAGTTGCAGGATTTGAACTGCCTTTTGTTTTCAGTCCATATTAAAATTCTGTTTTGTGGTCCACATCTGATTCTATCTTAGGCCTGGTCTGATTTCCTTCAGGCTCCAGACCTGTAAGTAAGGTTTGTCATCTGAGAGTCTCCAGCAGGGAAATTCAGCTTTCTCACACTCTAAAATTCGAGTTAGATGAGGAATGCTTTTCGTTCCCCTTCTACTGTGTAATCTATGCTACAGAGATGCCATTTAGCTCTGTTTTACTTCCCACAAATATGCAGAGCTGTTTTCATATTTTAAGAGGGAGACAGCAACCGAAAGTGTACCATATTAGCCCCAACCTTGACCGTGGTGTTAGAGTTCACTATAACAGGAAGGTTGTAAGCTGGACTCATCCTGGCAAAGGCAGAATGGCATACCACAGTGGTGGGAAGGCATGGGGCTCACATCTGTAAACCTCTTCTGCCCTCCCTAACCAACTCTTAGATTTTCACTAATTTAGTTCAGCTATCTGGACCACAGTTCCCTTGTCTGCAATGTAAGAACTCCACTAAATAACTGAAAATCTTTTTCTGGATTCCATGATACATGATTCTCATGAAAACACAAATTCAAAACTGTGTGCTTCCTAAGAATATATGATATATATATATATATATATATATATATATATATATATATATATATCATATATTCTTATCACAGGCTAGTGTCCATCCACCATCTGCTGCAGACACCCAAAATCAGCTAGTTTGAGGGTATATCTGGAGGTTTTGTTAAGATCATGGCTTATCACAGAATCATTATTTTTACTCAGATGAGGTAAAAGTAATCTCTTTGGAGATTAGATTTCCTGTCTAAATAGTTCTTGTGATGTGATTAGAAAGGAGTCATGCTCATCATGCCTGTAAATATGTTTGGATAAGGACTTGCCTTTCCTCTAAAATTACTTGTATCACTTGTGTACTTATTAAATTGTTTCCTAGCTAAGATTTGTCTGCATATTAAATAATTGGAGCTTTTCTACCTGTTAGTTTATTTTTACTGTATAATTTCTTTCTGGTAGTGGTAAGTTTTATCCTTTTCTCCTCCAATTACCATAAACCAAAAAATTCAGCACATAAATAAAATCCTGTTAGAGAACACATTGTTCTTTACTTTTGTGGCTAACACATAGAACAGGTTCTTCTGTCCGAAGGACAAATCTCTTTTTAATCATTGTCAATTATCCAATTACTCTCTTTTTGTCCTTGGCAAGTTCAATACTGACAGCTGAAGTGCTTTAGCATTTTGTTTCAAAACAAACAGAAGTTCATCTTTAAACCTGGTCAATGCCAGTTTTTATAAGATGTCATTTTTTTTAGAATGAAGACTGTATTTTTTGGATTATTTTATTAGAAACTTGTTGTGACATGATGTGCCTATATTTCAGTTCATATTTTCATATATATGAACCTATTATTTAGGTGATTTTGAGGTTTGTCTAGGTGTTTTTATTAGACTAAGGAGGACCCAAATCCAACTTATTTTATCAAATGAGAAAAATCTAGCTGTAGGTTATGCAAGCTCTATATGTGTTGATTTATTCTCTACATGATTACTCTTTGGGATACAACTCTTGGCATGGTTGAATAGATTCATAGTCAGCATCATTTGTGACTAAATGGCATTCATGGTTCAGGAACCTAGACTCCCAAACTTGTCTAGAAATCTCTCTATAGTCTTGACTGTTAGGAAGATTACAAGGAAAGACTGTTTGGAAAACTTTTCTGGCTAAGACAGAGAGAACAAACAGGCTGATCACTATGGGTTTGCTCATTTATCTGAAAATAACATTGTTCATTGCATACTTGGTTCTTTCTACCAAAACTAGTATGTTGGATGTCATGGAGCAAATCCTTAGATTTTGCCTTTAGATATTGCCTCTACAGCTTGTGCTTTGTACTAAGGCAGAACAGGTCAGACGGTTCTTTTAGAAGCTGAGGTCCTTTAATATAGAATAGCAGGAAACCATTAACTTTGCTTCCTCTCCAATGTCTGTAAAATGGCAATAATGCTCTAAGTCTCTTTGAGGTTGTCATTATTAAGTTACCAAACATATAAACATATGTGAAGCATATTGGAAGCTGGCTCGGTGCTTGCTGTGCAAGTGTGGGATCCTGTGTTTAGATCTCCCTGTAAAAGCAAGATGTGGTATAGAGGACCAACAAGCAAGGCTGTCATTGGTGCATTCACACTCACATACATGCACATGCATACTTTCCCACATATATATACATCACACACACATGCAAAGATGGAAAAATGGAAAGTGAAGCTCTATAAAGTCATTAGCACTGTAGCTAGCACCTAGTCACTGTCAATAAATCTTACCTGCTATAGCTGTCATAATGATAGTATTATGACAACTACTCTTATGAAAGAAACCAATGAATATCATTTTGCATAGGAAGGTTATTTAGAAGATCATTGTAAAGTATTGCCATTTGATTTGGGTATTGTGCTCAACAAGTCATATGCATTACCTATAGGATGTTTTGTTCTGAGTGTTAACAGAGTTAAAATTAACATAATTGGTAGGTCCAACACCCATCCTGAACTCCTGCTAAGGTGTGACAGTTTTTATGGAATGTGGATAAAGAGTGTTAAGGGTTATATTTAACTCTACATTGAAGAAATGTATCACAAGTAAATTTGAGAGTATTTTTTAAAGTTGAATATTTATTTGGTTGCAAGAAAATGTTTTTATTGGCCTCTTTTAGAGGGCTGCTTTGTTTGTTTCCTATAAGAAACTTCAATACAGGCAAGCTATGTGACAAGGTCTTGGAGTATTACTCAGCACTTACTAATTATGCAAGAGGCACTGGATCCACCCTCAGTGCTGCAAAAATGACAGGTGTGAGATTTCTCAGGCTTCCATATGTCTCAGTTAATAAGTGTGCATTTTGTTGTAATTATTATCATTTCTAGAATTCAATTAATGGCAGCTGTAAAGTTCAGGTAATGACATTGAAATTGTTTTTAAAGCATTCTCCTGGGATCTTAATTAGGAAGAATTCAGTTTCAAGCTGCTACAATTAAGATTTGAATCCACCTCAAGGATTTGCTAGGTCTGTGACCCCAGTTGTGGCATGACCTGAGTGAGTCTGGTTTCCTCATCTGTAGCAGGTGTGGATGTACAGCTCTTCCCAGAAGCTCCCTCACACAGTATCTGGTGCATTAGGTGCTTCTGCTCCTGGCTCCTACCATTGCCACTTCTGTTCTTATCAGGAAATAAGGCCATCTTCAAATTCTCTGACCTCCATACCCCAGTGAACAGTGCCAGAGAAAAACAACAGCTCTATCCACATTTAGTGAGGACATGAGTCTTGTTCTTCATTCACATTCTGCATTATAGAAATAAAAAAGACATCAGTGGGCAGGACCCATGGACTCA